AGTTACTTGAAAGATGTACTTACAAAATCATCTATCTATAGCTGAGAGTTAATTTAAACGTTTTTTATTAGAAAACAGTATTCAAATCGGGCTATGTCCATTTCACAGTACTGCAGAGAAGAAGAGAGGATACGGTAACGAAAGAGAAGAGAAGAAGCTGAGAGTTAGAACAATTTAGATTTAGGACAAAAATATTTTTTGATAGTCCTTGATCCATTCATTTAGAACGCTTTTTTGAAGCAACAACTTCTTTTTTAAACGCAGAGGGTAAAGCAGTAATAAATAATCGAGAATATAAGAAATATAACACTGCTATGAAAATCATTTTGAACAAAACACTTTTATTCGTCAGCGAGCTTTCGATGTCTTTCTAGATGTTAGAAAGACATCGAAAGCTCGCTGACGAATAAAAGTGTTTTGTTCAAAATGATTTTCATAGCAGTGTTATGTTTCTTATATTCTCAACTTCTTTTTTATTCTGTCTTGCAGCTATGGCTCGAGGCCAGGTTCAGCTTTTAGTATATTCGATCTTTTAAAAATGAGCCAAGAATAAACTTTGTCACACACACACTTCTCTATCAACGATTCATCGGATCAATCTGGTTCCTTCACACTTTATGTTCAATATATTGTGTAGATGTGTCCTTTCCGCAGACAAAAGTTTAACTGATCTGTGGTTGTTGAGATATTTTGGAAACCGTCGATTTTTCTATCTTATGACAGATACGCGCATAATACCCATGTCTTGCAGAAAGTCAAAATCTGCACAAGTTCTTTAATGATTTTGCTTCTTGAAATTTCTTGATCAAGATTTACTACGGGCCGAGTTTGACATATCTTGAAAATTCTGTAGCAAGATCTTGAAAACATTTGAGAATTTTTCTGAACTCATTAATGTAATTACTAATTAGGAAAATTCGTTCCATATTTGGACAAGGTAGATGGGAGAACGGTAACTACAAGATTTTTACACATATTGATATTCTTTGTGGTACTACATTACCACAAAACTTCCCTCACACTGTAGAGCTCGATGAGCTGAGTCGAATGACGAGAACCACAGGTTACAAAAACAGTTACTGGCACTTTACTTTTTGTCGTTCTTAAGAAAGTAGATTTTTTTCTGAATCAGCAGCGAAAAAATAGAAAATTCTGCTCGTAACTCTCTATTTTCTCCATCAGAAATCGTTTCTTATGCAATAAAAATATCATATTCAGAGTTAGCGTCGGAAACTGATTCGAATGATATATGTTTCGGAATTTTTCGTTGATTTCCATTTTTGGGTGAAAATCTCAGTAATTTTTCGATGTGAAAATTCGAAAAAAACAAAGGTGGTCGGATAGGGTAAAAAAGTGTATCATTCGGCTCGGTTTTCAACGCTCACTCCAAATATGATATTTTTATTGCATAAGAAACGATTTCTGATGGAGAAAATAGAGAACTACTGACAGAATTTCGATTTTTTCACTCCTGATTCAGAAAAAATCTACTTTCAAAGGAACGAAAAAAATTTCGAAACAAGCGCTTCATACTTTTGTTCTAAATTGAACGGCGAAGCGAATGGCTTATAAAACTTGTCTCTACCTCTTACCCAAAAGCCTCCACGTGGCTTGCAAGACATTAAACAGAAAGTGTACACAGCAACAGCGAGGTGCTCAGAAGTTATTGTTTCATCTGGAGCCTTCAAATATAATTTTCTAGATGCAGTTTTAGACACTGATCAAGGAAAACACCTAAATCCATTTGAAACGGAGTTACACCACTTCTAAAAATAGTTAGCGAATTTTCGAAGAGAGTCCCTCGAGTATTTTAAATTTTTCTCGGTGATAATGCGCACTAAAAATATTCAAAGTAACATTCTTAATCAGCATGAAATTCTCTATCGAATGATGCATATTTGAGGTGAAAAGAATAATCCGGGAACAACATGAACTCTTCCAAAACTTTTACTTGTGTATCTTTCAACCGTTGCGAGTCATCCTAAAAATGTTAATTACTTCTTCGTTATACAACTATCAGAGTTTAGTTGCTTTCATTTCCAGTTATTGACCCTAAATTATCAAACTTGTGTCCATATGTATACTGCATTACCGCTTTAGGAACTAAAATTCTAAACTCTTACCGTAGCTCGAAAAGGCTACATTTTGCTAAAACCACAATTTCATCCCTCTCTAATACGTAGATAGTATTACCTTGCTGAACAATTAAACCCTTCTATCTCACGAGCCATCCAGTTCAAGAGGCTTAAACTTGCTGAGTGATCTGAGCGTTAGAACAAATAAGTATATGGAAATTAACGATGACCACAGAATTAAAGAATTGACAATAAACTAGATCGTTGAAAATTCTTATGAATAATAATCATTTGATATTCAAGGATACTTAGCAAAGTGGCATGACAACGTTGACCAATTATCAGCGCAAACAATCATGTTATCGTTTATTAAAAGTACGTAGGAAGGGGCACAAAAAGGATATGCAGATGGAATATTTGTAGAGATACAAACTGTTGACAGAAAACTGTAAGTAAATAAGTCTATATTCTGTTCTCAAGATCAGATAAACTGGACATTCTCTAGGGTAGTCTTTTGAACGAGCGATTTTGAACGGGATATAGAAAACATCCGTTAAAACCAGTTTTTCTCTAAAACGACAAAAAGCGCACTTTTCTATGATATGTGTTTAATGGAAAAATACATTTGAGCGAGGATGAAGAAAACACGTAATGAAACGTCTGCACAAATTCCTCTCTTTTTAAACACAAAACTGCGTTTCTTACCATTCTTTTTTATAAAAAATAAAAATTTCACATTTTGATGAGGCAAGCTACGTAAAAAATTGACACCGGGTTAGTCTAGTTTCACAAAAAAGACTGGAAGTTATTTTCTTGAAAAGATTTGATGACAGTCTCTGGGTATGCTACCGATTGTTCATATAACTTCCACGTTAATATAGACACTCAAAGTTTCGATACTTTTATAATCAACACTTATATGCTTTTGTGAAGAAATGAAAAAGTTTTGTTGCTCACGAGACCTGCTGGTAAACATTTTTCGTTTGAATCTTTCTAAATCATGCCCTTCACATTCTCTTTTCTCATTTCATAGAAGCTATACAAAACATGAAATTAAAAGCACGTTAGGTGAGGTACAGTCATGAGAAGGAGAAAGCGTTATTCATATAAAACATTGTCGGGAAAGAAAAGAGTTGTGTGCCACAATAGTCAAAGCTGCATAAAAGAGCTGACAGGTAATAAGATCAGATTAGATCAGATCAGTGTAACATTATCAAGATCACACTGCGAAAAAGAAAGTGTCGTTTGGTGAGGTTTAGGGTATACGAAAGTGTCCTGTTTGTTGTTTTCACGGTGACTGTGGCGAACTTAGGGCACTTTCGTGTGCCCCAAACCTTACCGAAGGGCACTTTTTTTTCGCAGTGCAGACGATGTTTTCATGTTAACCTTTTAGATATCCTAATTTCTCATGAGTAGTAAAGAGTACAAGATTTTCTGAAGCACACAAAAGACCCATTTCGAAATCTGTAATGTGGAGACATACATGTGGATAAGCCACAATTCAAAGTATCTTTCGAAAATGTCGTCTACAGAATGTGTGCAGTATTACGCATACCATCTTCAACATAACTGGTGTCTAAACATAATCTGAAGCAACAAACTTCACTGATTTATAGGCAAAAAGAAATATTGCACATGAACAAATAATTTTTGTTGGAATTTCAATATTATATTATATTATTGGGAGTTCAATTTTTCAAACATTTTTCAGTGGATTGTCTTATTTTGATGACATTCGAAAGCAAACAGGTTACGTTTAAAAAGTGTTTTATGAGAGATCATTCATCATTTTCTCAAGTAGTGAACGGACGTGTTTTGTAATATCGTCTGTTTGCTTCGTTCTGCTATCTAACTGTACATTAGTACGTACACGTGAGGTGTACGCGTACGTACATGTGCTTTTTAAATCGGATTAAAAACCTACTTTTTTTTTAACAATTTATTAAAGTAAATTGCTTATATTACAAATTATTATAAAGAGTAATCGCCGTGACCTTCTGGCTGACGAATATCACCCTTATATTAAACACATTATAAATAGAAACCAGAAATATTTTTGTCACTGATCAAACCACTTGTTTATCGCTGGACTTATTCAGAGTATTATAAAGAGAGAGGAATCACGCATCAACCATGTCAAACTCAACATCCACTTTTCCTGACCCTTCGTACACTACTACAGCCCTTCGTCCGGACGTTATGGATCAACAAGAACTTGCGAACTTTGCTATGAATCACGATGATCCTAATCCTCAGCAAATGCTGTAATCTTCAGTGAATAACTTACACGTTCCTGCTGCCATTCCAGCAGGCCTCTTCAACCGCATCCAACAGCCAGCTGTATACTTGCAGCAGAGTTGACCAGATACACATACCACCTCATTGAACAAGCGAAAAAATGCCAATGATACTAATGAGTCAAAAGAAAATGGACGTAATAATTACAGATACCATAAGAAGGTATACATTCCTACTGTTAGGCAATCGAATGGAGCTAATAATGCTCAAAATATACGTGAAAATCAAAGTACAACAACGAGCAACAATTATGATCAATTTAATAGACAGCAGCAACAACTACAAAACAATTCACCTCCGCAGTGCAGATATCCCTTTCAGTCGCGTCAGATTTATTACCCAACCTATCAGAATAATTACAGTGGAAATAATATGCGATATCAACAGAGAAATTCTGGGCCAATAATTATCGTTCACAGAATAATGAGAATAATGAGATAACTCGTCAAGCAGAACGGTTTGCAGAAACCCGGGGTCCTTTTTCACAATATGTACCTCACTTTACAAGCAATGTAAATGAGATAGAAGTGATTAAACAATTAGTGAAGTATACGAAGGATACAGATAATTTTGATCTACAAATTGCTGCATACCGTAAATCTCAAGTATGCCCTGATAATGAATACAATATTTTATTATTTGTGGAAACTACGGAATCATTTGCTTATTTACTCAATACAGATAAATGGCTACCACAACTTGACAATAAGACATATCAATTAAAAACTCCGTCAATTCTGCTGCAACTATCTGCGGTCATTCAAAATGTTGGCTTCGATATTGATATTGATGAATTTAGTGAAAATGTAAAAGAATTATATCCAGAAATTGTCAATTTAGTTCGATTAAAAAATCGTGCACAACGCAATTTTAAAACTGGTAAAAGCCGAATTTAATTCAGTGACTGCTCGCAATGCAGTATTACAAGACAAGGCTATGACAGTGAATTATATGCGGTTTCAAGTAGTAGAATATCTAGCACTGGCTCGTGTCTTAGTCTGTTCCCGCTGTATGGGTATAGGACACTTCCAGAAAAATTGCCCTCAAAAAGATAAGGTTACATGTAAAACCTGTGGAGAAAAATGGGATGATATTAAAGACCATGCTTGTTGTTGGTATAGCCAAATGTATTCATTGTCAACAAGACCATTGGTCAAATGCGACTAAATGTCCTATCATCAAAGACTATCGAGCAGCGCTTACCAAAACGTTAGTTGCTCACCACAGTCCGGCTGTGAATGGAATACCGTATACAATATGAACAACTTTCCTACACTTCCATCTAATGGTAGTCGCAATGCAATGGCACCTACTGCCCCGTAGGTGCCACAACCACAAATGCAAGGTTTAACACGTGATCATATAGAACTTCATGAAATTACGGGTAGTGGTCGATCTAGGACGTATGTAACGTGTCCGGACCCAAAAACTAGAGAAGAAATTCTTTTCGGACTTCAAAATTCCTTTTCAAAATTGGGCCCAGAAGTACAAATTAACATTCTCTGATATAACTTGGAAGACATAATGATGAAAATATAGCTGATAGCGAGGAAAACGTGACCAATAAGCGAATTTGTGACTTGATAATGAAAGATGCGAAGCAATTAATACCAGAAAAGGAATACACACTATTACAAACAATTATAGATGAATGGAATAATTCATTAGATATTGACGTATGTCTTTCAAGCTGGCATTCATCAGAAAAGTCAAAAGCAAAATCGACAGTATCGTTAATGCATATGTTAGGTTTCAATGTACTCGGTCTCGACCTTAAATGGGGCGAAGTACTATTTCTAACAGCATCGCAGAATTTCGACATAATTACCTTAGGAGAAGTTGGAAAATTCGACAAAGCTACCATAATCGCTGCTCTACCTTCATATAATGTCTTTTATCAGAAAGGAGAGAATTGTCACGGAGTTCTTGTGTTAGTAAGAGATACTATCCGAGCATCTCGTGTTGCATGCTCCATACCGAATGTATGCGTATTAGATCTTCACCTAGATGAGACGATTAGAATAATCGGAATGTATGCTCCTGAAAGCAACTCATGGCAATGGGATGAAATATACCTTCACCTTTCATTTCTACTAGTTGTGTATTAATGGGTGATTTCAATGTCGATCTAGACAAAGATGGAGAAAAAGCGGAACATCTGCTTGATTGGGCAGTTAGTCAATCACTTGCAGCAATCACACCAAATTGTCCTACTTCTTTAAGATCAGACCGTGAAATTAACTACGTGCTAGTTACTGGTGTACAATTAACAGTGCAAGCGTATACTGGTAATACGACAAGGGATCATAAACCAATATTTAGTGTACTAGCCTATGAAAATACAAAAAATAGCATTGGATGTCTAACGTACTGGAAAGTATTCTATTTTTTCCTATCACAGACGCATGTTTATTGGGAAACAAGGTGGGCAGATAAAAAATTTAATGAAAATTATGATAAACTAAATCAATTTCTCATTCTATTAGTTGAACGATGTACGAGATATTTTCCAATTGAAATGGCCCGTGGTGCCATACCCAAAGAATTACGC